TTAGGGTTTAGGGTTTGCAGTTTTGGGCGTCGGGCTTGGGGTTTAACCGCTCTAGACTCTAAAGCCTAGACTAAACCCTGTAGGCCTTTTAGACTTTGAACTTTCGAACCTTCCTGCCCTAAACCCTAAACCCTGAAACCCTAAAACCCTAAAACCCTAAAACCCTAAACCCTAAATAACCCTAAACCCTAAACCAACATCCCTCCCGCGCCGGAACGGAGTGAGCCGCCGCACCATACGATGCGGCATCCTGCAATTTAGTGCAACAGGCTGAAGGATTTCCTCTAGAGGTTCAGAGTTTTAGGGCGCAGGCTTTAGGGGTTCAGGATTTAGGGTTTACGGTCCTGTAGGCTGTAAGGTTTAGGGGTTACTGAGGATTCGAGGCTTAGCTTTAGGGAGTTCAGGTACCATCAAGGTTTGAGGTTTCAAAGGGCACACGACCTTCACTCTAAACCTCAAACCTTAATGGGTAGCTCAGGCTGTCCCTGGCCTAAACCGAAAAAAACGACAAACGGTTTAGGGTTTAGGGTTTAGGGTTTAGGGCTTAGGGTTTAGGGTCCAAAGCCCTCAAATCCCGAATAAAGCGCTGGAATCTTTCGACCCTCCACCCAAACTTCAGCCCGAAAACTTAAAAACCCAAACCAAAACCTAGTTCAGCCACAAACAAAAGCCTGAAAACTAGAACCCGAACTAATTCCTAAACCCTCGAACCCAAATAAAGCCCCAAACCCCTTCCGAACCGAACCCTAAACTCCCTAAACTCTGAAATGCGGAACCCGCACGGGATTTAAGGTTCGGGGCGTGAGGGCAAGAATTGCTCTGGCATTTAGAACCCCGACTACACCCCTAACCCTCAACCTTAAACCCTAAACCCTAAACGCTACGCTAAACCTGATAACTCCTACAGTAGACTCTGCCCCCTAAACCCTGCACTCCACAAACCCAAAACCCCCGTTAAGCTTCCTTACAGAATCTCTTAACGGAACTCGTAGACGAACGCGAACCCAAGTAAACGGCTCCTTGGAGACAAGGGGTCGGCCGTGCGTCTCGATGAGCTCCGCATCCTCGTACGGGCGTGTGGGTTTAGGGTTTAGGGTTTCGGGTTTAGGGGTTTCAAGGGCTCCACCCTAAACCCTAAATCCTAAGTTTACGGCTGCAAGACCCGCCCAGAGAATTCAAAATTCCTCTACGTCAAGAACCTTACCTACAAGAACCTTCCCTAAACGATAATCAAGATCCCCAAGATGGGAACCTAAATGACAGGAAACTACTGGGGGACCGCAAAGCCTTAAAAGATTAGAACAAGGCTTTGGGGGCATGGCATAGTGATGATTACTATACTCATCATGGGAACACTGGGAATAACTTCCCATATATATATATATATATACATATATATATATATATACATATATGATTTATATAGTATAATATATATATATATACAGACTAGAATTATGGAGTTGCGGCCTCAAAGATCATCATCAAAACCACCCAACAACAAACACCAAAGCTCGAAAGCCCGAGAGCTCTAAGGCTCTGAATCCTAGAACCCCTTAAAGGAGCGCGTAAAGGAAACCTAAACCCTGAAACCTAAACCCTGAACTAAACCCTAAACCCTGAACTAAACCCTAAACCCTAATCTAAACCCTAAATCCTGAACTGAACCCTAAACCCTGAACTAAACCCTAATCCCTAAACCCTAAACCCTAAACCTGGGTCGAACCCGTCACGGCCTTTGTCTCTGGCAGGCTCCAGACCAGCAGAGAGGCGAGAAGGAGCCTGGGCGGCGTAAGCGCTTGGATTCCTCACAGGGGCTTAGGGCTTTAGGGCTTAAGGCTTTAGGGATTAAGGGCTTAAGGGTTTAAGGGCTTTAGGGTTTTAGGGTTGAGGGTTTAGGGTTTTAGGGTTTAGGGGTTTAGGGGTTTAGGGTTTAATTTAGGGTTTAGGGCTTTAGGGATTAAGGGTTTACGGGTTTAGGGTTTTAGGGCTTAAG